ACCACTTAAAGAACTGTGATGGAAATATACAATGAGAAAACTATTTCTTGTCTCCATGATACTCCATAGATACTCCAGAGTTCTATATTAAGTAAACAAAGTTATAAAATGATGGCATGATCCAAGGTGCTATGGCTGTATGAAATGGGATTTTGAATAGTCAAGGAAGTATTAATAAGATCAGACTTCCCTGAGAAAATGTTGCTTGAGGCTTTTTTAATTGAGAGATAACTCCCATACCATAAAGTCTACCTTTTTAAAATATAAAACTTGATGGATTTTGGAATATTTGTGGAGTCATCCAACCATCACCACACCTAATTTCAGGACATTTTCATCTCCCGAAGAAAAAAGTCAGACTCATTAGCAGTCACTCCCATTCCCTCTCCCACTGAGCCCTAGATGACCACTAATCTGTCATCTATCTTTATTAATTTGCCTATTCTGGATATTTCATATAAATATCATCATAAATATGTGGCCTTTCATGACTAGCTTCTTTCATTGAGCATGTTTTCAAAATTCATCTGTGTTGAAGCATGTATCAGCATTTCCATTTTTTGTTGCTGAGTAATATACGACAGAATTCACATTTGAATCCTGTGTCTGATTCAAGATCCTTAATTCTTTTTAATTTTTAAGACAGAGTGTCTTTGTCACCCAGGCTGTAGGGCAGTGGCTATTCACAAGCACCATCATAGCTCACTACAGCCTCAAACTCCTGGGCCTAAGTGATCCTCCTGCCTCAGCCTCCCAAGTAGCTGGGAATACTGCATGCATCACCACACCAAGCTCTAAGATATCCTAGGAGTAAAGAGGAGAAATAAGGCTATAACTCATACCTTCAATGTTGAATTTTTGCCTGTTGTACTAGTACACTTTGCCCCATTTGCTGAGCCAGTGGTTGCCTTAGTCCAAACTAGCCGAAGATTAAGTATGGCACGACTAAGCTTATCTGAAGAGTTTTAGGGATGTCTGACATTTCTGATTTAGATAATAAACATAAGTATGTTTATTCTTCTCCTTTTTCTTTTCCAGAAACTTCACAACCTATAGTACAAGGTGGTTCCACAGCAGCAGAGACAAAAGAACAAGGTGAAGAAAACAGATTTATTCATTTGTTGCCATCCTGGAAGGAAGCTGGGTGAAAGAAATCCATGTAGTTTAAGTGGTGGGGTGGGGGTTCCACTTTCCCTATCTTCCTCCTCATTTGTCTCTGTCAATCCTTTCCCTAAGAGCTCTTGATAAGTACCATGGAAAGAGCTATCTATGTATGTTCCCTGTATTATCTCCGTCAGAGAGATAATAATCGGTCAGATTTTATGAAAACAAATTCCAAAGAACCCATGATTCTAGTGGACTTGAGCATCAAGTACAAGCTTATTTGACTGACAGGTGCTAACCTCACAGCCAACAGTAGTCAAGTGATTTGTTCAAAGTTACTTGAGTACTAGTAGTAATTATTTTCTTAATTCTATCAACCAATGTTTAGTGAATACCTACCACCAAAGAACTGTGATAGAATCATATTGGCAAGAAAAACATATTTCTTGCCTTCATGATGTTTATAGCCCAGATTTATGTTAATTAAGCCAAGGTAAGAAATGAAGGTACGATCTGAGGTGCTGAGGTTATGTGGGATGGGAGTTGAAAGGTCAAGGAAGTTGAAGCAGCCTTCCCTGAGGAAATGCTGCTTGAGGATTTTTTATTGAGAGAATTCACATGCTGTGAAATTTACCCTTTTGAAGTATACAATTCAGTAACTTTTAGCATATTCAGTTTTCCAACTGTTGCTACTAATTATGAAGCATTTCTTTCTGCCAAAGAGAACCCCCATACCCACTAGCAGTCACTCCCAATTTTCTCCCTACCCCCTGAACCCTAGATAACCACTAACTTATTTTCCATCTCTAAAACTTTACCTATTCTGGACCTTTTGTGTAAATGGAATCATATGATATATGGCTCTTTATGACTGGCTTCCTGCACATAGCATGTTTTCAAAGTTCACTCATGGAGCAGTATGTATCAGCACCTCATTTATGTTGCTGAATAATATTCCATTGCATGGGCAACCCACATTCTCTTTATCCATTCTTCAGTTGATGGAAATTTGGGTTCTTTCCACTTTTTGGCTATAGTGAATGATGCTGTTCTCCATGTTCATATAATTCAATTGATTTGATTTGTGTGAGATATTCAAGATATAAAACCAGTATAATTAGGTGATGGGGTTCTGAGAAAAAGGCCTCAGGAACTGCTCCAAAACTAGTATAACTAAGTGATGGGGTTCTGAGAAAAAGGCTTCAGGAACTGCTTCAAGACTAGTATAACTAGGTGGTGGGGTTCTGAGAAAAAGGCCTCAGGAATTGCTCCCACATTTCCACTTAAGCAGTCTCTGATGGATGGCGCTGCTAAAATTTCAAGCTCAGAAGCCACTTCAAGTTGGGCTTTTATTCTACCTTTACAACATGTGTTGACCTTGTGTGGGTTACTTAATCACTTATTCAACCAATATTTGAAAAACTAATAGTTTAAATTGGGATTAATAATAATAAATACAAATATTGGTAGCATTTCTAGAATACTTACCATGGGCCAGGCGCTGTTCTCCATGTCTTATGATTGTCATAACACCTTCACACTAACCTTGTAAAAAGAGGTATTAATATCCCCGTTTGATATTATGAACAAACTACCATAGAGGATTAATATGAACTAAAATTAGGTTTATATAAAAAGAAATGAGCACAACATCTCTTCCAAAGTAAATTCATGAACATAAGCTTTTCCCTAGTTATCATTTATAAAAAACTTAAGAGAAGGAATGTTTTGTGATGAAGATAAAAGATGAAACAAGTTTTTGAAGCTTTGAATTTGAGGTCCCTGTGGCCCCTTAAGGTGGTGACTTAGACATATGAGCCTGGAATTTTAGAAAAGAAGTCGTTATTAGGGAGAGGTTCGGAACGCTTAAGCATGGACGCAATACTTGAATCCATAGAATAAAAAGAGGAGACTGAGAAAGGACCAAAAAAGCCCAGGTTCAACTGTAGACTGCCTCCCTGGGGTTTCCCTCCCTCTATAAAAACCTACAGTCCAGTCGTTGAGCCAATTGTCCGTCTGAGGGTAGCATGTCAGTCTGAGCTCAGCAAATAGAGGCTTATCTCAAGGTGTGCTTCCTCGGTTTTAATGCAGGTTTGTTCATGGCTTTCCCTCTGATTCTATTGGTTCTGCATCCATGGATTCAACCAACTTCAGGTTTAAAATATTTGGGGCTAAAATGCTGCAAAGTTCCAAAAAGCAAAATTTGAATTTGCCACATGCCAAGTAGTACTACATCGAATTCACATGAATGATCTGCAGATGGTGTTAGGTACTATAAGTAATCTAGATATGATTTAAAGTATATGGGAAGATTGCAAATACTGCTTAATTTTATATAAGGGACCTGAACATTGAACCTTTTGAGGGGTTCTGGAACTAACCTCCCACATATACCAAGGATACAGTAATGAAGTATAAAGTTTAGAACTCTTGCATAGAAATTTTGTATACAGTTAATAATTACACATTAGTACAGGGAGAGTCCTACTGCCTTTTTTTTTTTTTTTCCAGTAGAGATAGGGTCTCACTAAGTTGCCCAAGCTGGTCTCAAACTCCTGGACTCAAGTAGTCCTCCCGCCTCAGCCTCCCAAGTAGCTGGGACAACAGGTGTGTACTACCACACCTGGCCACTGCCTTTTAAAAGAAAAAATAAAAGATACTGGTAGTACCAGGAAATTTAAGGTCCCAGGACATGAATCATTTTCATGTTCATTGAGTGCCTATTGGATATCGGAGACAGTTGAAGAGGCTGAAGCTACTTTTCTCATGGAGCTAATGTTGTATTCTAGGGGCTAGACAATAATTACATGCATGAAAGAATTGTGTGTGATAAATGTTGGGATAAAAGTAAAACAGGTAATGTGAAAGAATTATGGTTGTGATAATAGGCACCACTTATCATGTTTGCCAAGGTGGCAAATGTGGTTAATGAATGTTGGATGCACATTCTTAAATATTCCTCAGGCGGGGACTCTGACAGCAGCTCGTCCGGGATCACACAGATACCCTAGGGTAGAGCTTGGATCCGGGCAGAGTCTGTCTGACTCAGAGGCATATGCTCCCATTTTTTTTTGTTTTGGACAGACTCTTGCTCTGTTCCCAGGCTAGAGTGCAATAGTGTCATCACAGCTCGCTGTAACCTCAAATTCCTGAGCTCAAGTGATCCCTCCTGCCTCAGCTTCCTAGATAGGTGGGACTACAGGCATGCACCACCATGCCTAGCTATTTTTTTTTTTTTTATTTTTTGTGGAGTCAGGTCTCACCATTGTCCAGGCTGGTCCTGAACTCCTGGACCCCAGTGATCCTCCTCCCTTGGCCTCCCAAAGTGATAGTATCACAGGTGTGCCCCACGCACCCAGCCTCCCCCTTACATAGCGGGGGCATTTCCCCAGTGCAGCCTGGGGAGGAGAGCGGTGCGTGATGTGTGCGGGGCCTTCAGGCGTCGGACTGGGGCCATGGCGCACACATTCTCAGCTGCCCCGGCTTCTGTCTCTGAGATTGCATACAAGTGTTTGGCATAGATTATTCATTTAATAAATGAGTTCTCACAGGGTGCGCCAGGCACTGTCATAAATACTGACGATCCGCAGTGAGCAAGAAAGTCTGTGCTTAGTGTCCATTGGAGACAATAAGCTAGCAAGTATGCAGTGTGTCAGGTTGAAGGGACAGCAGACGCTCTTGAGGAAGTGGCCTTTGAGAGGGGGACGAGGCTGGGAAGTAATGAGAGACCCGTGCACAGGGCCTGTCTGGCTCGGCACACCCACTGACTCTGGGTCCGGGGTTTTTGTCTTGTCCTATTTTTACTAAAATCCAGACTTCCTTCAAATTCTTTCCTGCTGTTTTCCTCTACCCTCTCTGGTCTGACTTTGGACCAAGGAGGTAACAGGTGGGACTACATGCGCCACGTGATGACCAAATTCTCCAAGAAGATGGATGTTGACCATAGTCCTGAAAAATCTGCTGACTGGACGGATATGGAAAGGATGCTGTCTGGCATTTTCGATATGGAGGAGGGGGGCTTCCGGCCCTACACCGTGGTTCTGCATGGAAAATCGGGAATCGGGAAGTCAGCTTTGGCGAGAAGGATCATGCTACGCTGGGCTCAAGGTGACTTCTACGAGAGCATGTTCTCCTACGCCTTCTTTCTCCACACTAGAGATCTGCTACGGAGGAGGGAGAGCAGTCTTGCAGAGCTGATTTCCAAGGAGTGGCCGGACTCCCAGGCCCCGGTGACGGAGATCATGTCCCAACCCAAAGAGCTCTTGTTTATTGTTGACAGTTTTGATGACCTGGACTCTGACCTCAATGACGACACAAGGCTCTGTAGAGACTGGGCCGAGAAGCAACCCACCCCTGTCCTGATACACAGTCTGCTGAGGAAAGCCCTGCTGCCTGCGTCCTCCCTCATAATCACCGTCAGCAACGTGGGCATGGGCGCGCTCAAGTCGTTGGTCCAGGTTCCCCGCTACCTGCTGGTTGGCGGGATCTCGGCGGAAAAAAGGTTTCAGTTATTCCTTGAGCACGTCGCGAGCGAGCACGAAAGGGCGGAGATCTTGCGTGTGATGGACAGCTGCGACCTGTGGGGCGAGTGCCAGGACGTCACCGTGCACTCGCTGGTGTGCGCGGCCCTGCAGCGCCGGAAGGCGGGCGGGGGGCGCGCCGCCCCCATTTCCCAGACTTTCACCGGGCTGTACGCCACCTTCGTGTTCTACCAGCTCACTCCGCGGGAGGAGGCCCCGCGCTGCCTCAACCGGGAAGAAAGGGCCGTGCTGAAGAACCTGTGCCGCATGGCCGCGGAGGGCATGTGGGACATGAAGTCCGCCTTCGACAGCGACGACCTCACGGTCCACGGCCTGCGGGAGTCCGAGCTGGCCGCCGTGTTCCACATGGACGTGCTGCTCCGCGACGGCCACTGCGAGGGCTACTACTCCTTCTTCCACCTCAGCCTCCAGGAGTTCTGCGCCGCCTTGTACTACGTCCTGGAGGGGCTGGAAAGGGAGCCCAACCTCTGCCCGCTCTTCACTGAGAGGATAAGGAGTTTGATGGAGCTTAAACAGACAGGCTTCAACTTCCACTTGTACCAGATGAAGCGCTTCTTGTTTGGCCTCATGAGCAAGGAAGTGCTGCAGGCCCTGGAGGCGCTGCTGGGCTGCCCCGTCCCCCTGGCCATAAAGCAGAGACTCCTGTACTGGGTCTCCCTGTTAGGGCTGTTGGGCCATTATGCCGTCCCAGTGGACGTCCTGGACTCCTTCCACTGTCTGTTCGAGACACAAGATGAAGAATTTGTTCGCTCGGCGTTAAGCAGCTTCCAAGATGTGTACCTCTCACTTCACCAGAAAATGGACTTAGTAGTGTCGTCTTTCTGTCTCCAGCGTTGCTCCTATTTACGGAAACTTCGGGTGGATATCAGAAAGATGATCCCAACAGATAGAAAGGCCTGGCCTGTGATTCCCCGGTGGTAAGTCCCCTGCGGTTTTATTCTGTACCGTCTGCCGAGCCTGTTGCTAGGGTTTGACAAGACTCCCAGAAACGTCAGGGTCCCAGGTAATTCTTTCAGGATGAATGACCCAGATGTGGTCCGGGTGGCTAGAACGACGGGCCCTACTTCAGCTCCTTGTGAGCGGCCAGTAAGCTCTTTCAAACTGCCAGGCTTCCCCCACGACTGTGCAAGGGAAGGCTCTGGGTTGGAAACCCAGGAGTATGTGAGGTTTTTTTTTTAAGGCTGCTCCTGTCAGATGATCATTCGTATGTCCGAACTGCTGTGCCCTGTGGGCCCCAGAGCAGGGCTGTCCCACACAGCTTTCTGCGAGGACAAGAATGTTTCCCGCTCCTGTCCAGTAGCGTAGCCCCAGCCCACGTGTGCCTGCTGAGCATTCGAAACGTGAGACTGAGGAGGTGAAACCTTAATTGTATTCCCTTTCAGCTTATTTATATTGAAATAGCCCCATGTAGCTGGTGCACACTGAAGAGTGCAGGTCTGGAAAATGCCCTCCCCTGGGCTGTCTAACGCCCATCATTACCCGCCATAGCACACCAGCCGGGAATGTGAGCTAGCCCCGAGCAGTGGCACGGACCTATAGCTCAAGCTTCTTGGGAGACTGAGACAGGAGGATGGCTTGAGCCCAGGGGTTCAAGGCTGCAGTGCATTATGATCCTATCTGTGAATAGCCACCGTACCCCAGCCTCCTGGGCAACATGGTGAAAACCTCATCTCTTGAAAAAAATAACAGAAAAACACAGATCAATTTAGCCAGGTGTGGTGGCATGCACTGGTAGTCCCAGCTACTTGGGAGGCTGAGAATCACTTGAGCCCAGGAACTAGAGTCTAGCCTGGGCAACATAGCAAGACCCCAGTACACACACACACACACACACACCACACACACACACACACACACACGGACAGACGGACGGACATTGCTACCCCCCTGTCAGTATTTAAATCCCAGGCCAGCTACTTCTGAGCAGTGAGACCTCAGGAAAGTTGCTTAACTGTTCTGTGCCTCTGTTTCTTCATCTGTAAAACAGCAGTAATGGCATCTCCCTACCAGGTTGTTAGGAGCTAAAGCACGTAGGAACCACGCCTGGCACTTAACACAGAGAGTGGCCGATGATTCGGAACTAAACCAACTGCCAGTACATATTGGCAAAGGACGCTGGAAAAACCCGATTTGTAATTTTAGCTCTGCTGCCTACAAGCCCTGTGACCATCTAAAATAAGGGGGAAATGGCGCCACCCTCGGGTTTAAAACAGCATCAAATTCTCTCACAGATGGAGTCCGGCACAACGCCTGGTATATGCTAAGGCCTTGGTAAAACGACAGTGACTCTCGGTCAGAAAACAATTACACGGTGAAGCCCTCTCTGTTAGAGGAGGAGCTTATGTCGGTGCAGAAAGAAAACATCTTGCCTGTCGCCTCGTTCTGTCCCGTCCATAGCCAGGGGTGTCCACAACCTGGCCATTTTCCTGTAGATTGGCCGAAAATGGGCACAAATACAGGCTAAGCCCTGAGCTAGCTATGTTTACATACAGTCACAAAAATCACAGCTACTGTGTGTGAATGAGCACTGTTACTTACCACTGTTTTCTTTTTTCTTTTTAATTGACAAACATATATGTTTATGGGGTACTGTGTGATGGTTTGATATATGTATACATTGTAGAATAATTAAATCAAGCTACTTAGTATATCCATCACCTCACCTTTGCATAAGATTTTTGTGATGAGAACATTTTTAAATTGCCCTTTTAGCGATTTTAAAATAATACACTGTTATATATTACATAGCACACTGGTCCTAGTTAATATCACTAAAACTTGTTCCTCCTAGCTGAAACTCTATACACTTCAACCAGTATCTCCCCACTCTGCCCTTCCCAGCCTCTGGTAACTGCTGTTTCACTCTCTGCTTCTGAGAGTTTGACATTTTTAGATTCTACACATAAGTAAGATCATGCAATGTTGTTTTTTCTGTATACCTGGTTGATTTCACTTGGCCTGATGTACTCTAGTTTCATTTTTATTTATTCTCAGGGCAAACTTGTGAGATAGGTCAGCACTCTGTTCGCAAAGGTGGGAACGTGCACGCTCAGGTGGCGTGGCAGCCAGTGAGCAGGAGACCGATGCTCGCGTTTGCAGCACGGCACTGACCCAGGTGCCACGTGGGCGCAGAGCTCTGCAGCTGTCCCGCCCTGCGCCACTGAAACTCTGTGCCCACCGAACAGCGACTGAGTCCCCTCCCCCCTGGAAACCACCATTCTACTTTCTGCCTCTATGAGTTTGACCATTTCAGATATTTCACATAAAGAGAATCATGCAGTATTTGCCCTTCGATGACTGGCTGGTGTCACTGAGCATAGTGTCCTCCAGACTGGATCGTATTGTCAGAAATGGAGGCCTTCCCTCGTTAAGGCTGAATAACGTTCCACTGTGGTGCCCCATTTTCCTCCTCCATTCATGCGCCGATGGACACTTGGGTTGCTTCCACGTCTGAGCTGTTGTGAATATCACGCAGTGGACGTGGCAGAGCAAATATCCCTTTAGCCTTCCGATTTCAGTTCTTTGGGGTTTATGCACAGAAGTGGGGTCGCTGGGTCCTGTGGTAGTTCTGTTTTAAATTACCTGAGGAAGCGCCATACTGTCTCCCATAGTGGTCGCACCACTTTACATTCAGGGGGAGCTAGAGTTTAAGCAAGCAACTGATTCAAGAGCTGGCAGCCCCTATTGTGCTAGTGCACCCCCTGGGGCATCAGGACGTTCACGATGTAGGGTGGCTGCAGAGCCAGCCATGCGGGGCACAGCGTGGTGCCCACCAGATGGGCCTCGGAGCCGCTAAAGCATCTGTGTGTCTTCTGTAGGCTGGTCCCCCCCCAACACGCAGCTCGTGTTACAGTCCCTTCCATGGAAGCACACGTTTGTTTCTCTCCCTGACGCAGGGTGCCGGGTAAGGTCTTCGCCGATCAGCAGTGGGAAATTTTCTGCCGTGTGCTCTGCAACCACCCAAGCCTGCAGCAACTGGACCTGGGCGCCAGCACCCTGAGTGAACTGTCCTTGAGGAAACTCTGCGCCATGCTGAAGAGTCGAACCTGTACAATACAGAATCTAATGTAAGAAAATCCCTTCCTGTCGCTCACCCCTCCCCCACAGCCCTTCTCCACCTATTGAGAGAAGACCCATCTACACCCCCTCAAACATGTTCTATGAAAGATACAGGAATAAAGTTTCCAAAAGCACAGAATGGAAAGTGACTAAAGACTCTGTGAAGGGATTACTGAACCAGGTTCATTGACTCAGGGTTTTGAAGGATGAGTAGGAGTTGGCTGGTAGGGAAAAAGTGAGGGAAGTTCATCTCAGGCAAACAGAACATGACGCAATAACAAGATCAAAATGCATGATTCTTGTGATGCTTTTAGGTTAATTAATAAGGTAGCAAATATATGAACCCAGGACACTGTGCCAAGCCCCTGGAGCAGGAGGTATGGAGTGCTGGTTCTACTTCATGCAAAAGTTCTACTCTTTACTTCTCCCTCCAAGACCAAGTGAAGTCCATGTGATGCCCAAGAGTAGAGCAAGTCAAGTTCTTGGTTACAAACACCTTCCCCTCCTTGCCCTTCTTTCTCTAAGCAGTTTCCTTAAGCTGAGATGTACCGAGAAACTTGGTGATCCCAGAATAACAACTCCCTGTCCGCCTTAAATCTTACACCAAATGTAATTTCTCTTAAATGTTTTCCCCTACCCGACAGCCTCCACTCCATTAGCTGTCCTATTTTAGCTTCTATTGTAGACTATAATTTGCCTTAATCTGTGTCCTCCCTGTATTTTAATACAATAGTATTAATAATTAATACATGATCATGGTCAAAAGATTCAGGGAAGTACAAAGGGATTTAAGTCATTAATCTCATAATGACTTTTTGGTCAGTGATGGACCATAAGACTGCAGTGGTCACGTAAGATTATCGTACCGCATTTTTACTGCAGTTTTTGTATGCTTAGACACACAAACGCCACTGTGGTAGGCTTGCCTGCAGTATTCAATGCAGTCACTGACTGTGTGTGTCTCTGTGGTTCTGCCCCATTCTCAATGGACTCTCTATCTCATGCTCACACATAATTCTTTTGTTCTACTCCTTATCAAATGTCTCTCCCACTAGATTAGGCCCCACAAAAGGCAGGGACTGATTGTTAGTATTGTCTAATAGTCTATTCTCAGTGTCTGGCACATCCTAGGTACTCGAATGTTTGTTGCTTTAAGATTCAATACAAATAATTAGAAACTCGAAAGAACAGGAAAAGAATGAGAAGGAAAAATAAGGATGCAACTAAATGTCACCAGCGTGTAAGTCGTCTCAATTTTTTACATCTTCCACAGACTCAAAGATACACAGATTATATCTGGTCTCTACCTTCTCTGGCCTGCTCTTATCAGCAACCATCACATAAAATACCTCCACTTGGGAAGTACCCACCTGAGCGATACAGATGTAAAAGAAGTATGTGAAACGTTAAAACATCCAAAATGTTTCCTGGAGTCTTTGAGGTGAGTCTCAGGGTTTATGCCTTTTGTTTATTTGCTTGTTTTTATTTTTATTTTGAAATTCCAAAAGTTGTGAAAACACTAGAGTTGGGAAGGCGGAAAAGCTCTGGTGGTGATGGTTGCATGACAATGAGTTCAATGCCACTGGACTGTATACTTAAAAATAGTTAAAACAGTAAATTTTGTTATTAATATTTTATCACCATAAATAACTTGCAACATTTCGTAAAAATTAAAATATTTCAAAGCCGGGCGCGGTGGCTCACGCCTGTAATCCTAGCTCTTGGGAGGCTGAGGCGGGCGGATTGCTCAAGGTCAGGAGTTCAAAACCAGCCTGAGCAAGAGCGAGACCCCGTCTCTAGTATAAATAGAAAGAAATTAATTGGCCAACTGATATATATATATAAAAAAAAAAATTAGCCGGGCATGGTGGCTCATGCCTGTAGTCCCAGCTACTCGGGAGGCTGAGGCAGAAGGATCGCTCGAGCCCAGGAGTTTGAGGTTGCTGTGAGCTAGGCTGATGCCACGGCACTCACTCTAGTCTGGACAACAAAGCAAGACTCTGTCTCAAAAAAAAAAAAGAAAAAGAAAAAGAAAAAGAAAAAAAATAAAAAAATAAAAAATAAATAAAAAAAATAAAATATTTCAGAGAGGTCACATGTACCCTCCGGGCAGTTTCTCCCAATGGCTACATCTTGCATAACTACCACACAATCTACAAACCAGGCCATGGACACTGGCACAGTGCCTGTACTTCATTCTGTGCCATTTTATCATGTGCGTAGACTTGTGTAATGCACACAGTATCACAAGATACCGTGATGTCACCCTCATGCTGTCTCTTTGTAGTCGCACCATTCCTAATCCCGGCCACCACGCATGTTTTCCATCTCTGCGATTTTTGTCATTTTGACAGTGCTATAAAAATAGAGTCAATACAGTGCATCACTACTCTAGACTGGCTTCGTGCAATCAGCCCTTGGATCCATCCGAGCTGTGCATGTGTCAGTTCGTTCCTTTCCATTACTGAGAGCTATTCCAGAGTATGGATACACCACAGTTAGTCTAACAATTCGCCTATCCAGGGAGATTTTGGTAGGTTGTTTCCAGTTTGGGGTTCTTACTGCAGTTTGCAAACCCTGGGCATGCGCTTGGTCAATTAGATTAGCTTGGTCTAAAGACACTTCTCCTCAATGTTTATGGTAATCCAAGACAAACAGGGACCCCTGCTTGGAGCTTCCTTAGCTGACACGTCAACTGTTGAGGAATACTTTGCTTTGCACCATGTGTGCTTTTGCCTGGTAACTGGGAAACTGCACTTCCAGAAATGTAACTCGAGGGAGTGGGCCAAAGCATAGGTGTCCCTGAAGGATGGAAACACACATGTTTGCACAACCTCATGTGGGTTTTATGTCTTCCCTGGGAACAAACAGGATGGCTGCCGCCCCCCCACCCCCCCGTCTCCCACTCTCTCCCTACTTCACAAATAGGATAACTGAAAGTTGTATGCAAAGAATAAATAAGACACACGTGTCAGAGGAGAGAGAGGGGCTATTTGGGGCCAAGAAGGGGAGTAAGTGCAGGGTCACCTGGTAGGAGGTGCCTGCCAGTGTCCCGGAAGTGTGTGTTTAACTTCTAATGATTCATAAGGGTAAGAGTATCAGTCTATTTCCCTCACTGCTACGTTCCCAGCACCTAGAACTGCTCTGTTCCCGACACCTGGCCCATATCATGCCACCAAATATTTATTGGCTGGAGGGATGGAATAATTGGCTAACCCTCCAAATGGGAAATGGTTTTGAAATATAGATTGGGCCACATGGTGTGGGGTTTCAACTGAGTATCACATTGGGGAGTTGGCATTTTCTTTCATTCAGCAAGTGCAGGGATCTATAATGTTCATAGCACTCTAACAGGTTCCAGGGATGTGCTAGCCAGTGAGTCAAGGTTCCTGCTCTCACGGGCTCACAGGCCACACAGGGAGATAAAACAAATTCTTGCCTGTGCATACACACACACACACCATGAGCATGTATGTTTGGAGGACCCTAAAGGTTCTGTCTGGAATGCAACACAGAAAATCATATTGTTTCCATGTGCTAGCATATTGTTAGTTGGGTCCTGCAACAAACACAGCTGATGATGTATGACGGTTCTGAAACAAGAGAAGTTTTTCTTGCCTATGTAAAGATGGTTTGAGGCCAGTGGGGCTGGGGCTGGTCCTATGCTCAGGCTAGCGGGGTTCTAGGGTTCTAGTGTTAACACAGCTTCCAGATCCTGCTGCGTGTTAGAGGTTCAGCTCAAAAGAGCAGAGAGTTTTATGAGCCTGGCATGGAGGTAGTTCAAATCCCTCACTCGGATTCCCTTCACATTCTCTTAGCTGGCACTGGGTCATGTGACCATGCCCACTGCAAGGCAGGCTGGACAACGTAGTCCAGCTCTGTGTCCCGGCGGAAGCAAACACAGGCTCACACTGTCAGCCTCTGCCCCTCCCCCCACGGCATTGCCCGAGTGCCTGGTGGGAGTTCTAATGTTCCCGTCCTCACAAGCAGCACTGAGGTCGGTAGCAGCGCTAGCCCCATCTTCCAGATGGCAAGCTGAGTCACAAAGATGTTAACCTACTTGCTTCATAGAGGCTTAAGGCTTAAGGGTAGAATTGCTGGCTCGTGAGGTGCATCCACACTCAGCTCTTATACACACTGCCAGTTGCTGCAGGAGGTTGTGCCCGTCAGCAAATGCTGAGTGCCTGCTGTGTACCAGCACTGCCGTGGCTGCTAAAGCTGCAGCAGGCGCCAGGCCAGCCGGGCCTCCCCCTCGCAGAGGTGCCGTGTTCTAGGTGGGAAGACGGGCAGTAAACAAGCGTAAATATAAACGGAGTGTTAGCTGGTGATCGCGGCTATGAACGTAGTAATGTTGAATAAGGAGTGGAGTGAGGCAGGGTGGGCACCGTTTAAGGCAGTAAGTCCAGCTTACTCCATAAAGGTGACAGTTGACAAACCTGAATATGGAAATGAACGGCATGAAGACCAGGGGAGGGAAGGCACAGAGCGGGGCAGCGGGCTGCTCTGGGCCGGGGCAGGGCTGTGCGTCACACTGCCTGTCTCCGCAGGTTGGATCACTGTGGATTAAACCACGCCGGTTACCTGATGCTCTCCCAAGTCCTTACCGGCCTAAAATACCTCGGCCTGTCGGGGAACAAGGTGACGGACGAGGGTGTGAAGCCTCTCTTCCAGGCCTTGGAGGACTCGGATTGCACCCTGGAGAAGCTGACGTGAGTCCCACTCCCGCCACTGGGTTTTCTCAGCTGAGGTCCCCGAGCCGTGAGGGAGGGGATTGGCAGGTGCATATGCGCAGGGTGGGAGTCGGGCCTGGCGGGAGGGCCCCGGTGCTGGGAGCAGGAATGACCCATAGAACACATCTGTCCTCGCTATTGAACTCTGAATGTAAACCTGGGAGCAGGAGGCAGTGAATGGAAATCGGTGACCTTCCCAGATAAAGCTGTCTTGGAGCACGAGGCCGGTGTGTGTGGCCACGTGGGTTGGTGAGTGCTCCACTCTACCATGGACAAGCTTACCTGCCCGGTCACTCGGAGAACTCAATGGCAAGACCAAGTTCTGCCCACAAAAGTGCAGACCGGAGCAGGTGCACCAAAAGTGCACCAAAGCGCAGACCGGAGCTGGTCTTCTGGGTGCAGACTGGCCCACCGAGGAGGGTCTGAGCAGAGCGCATCACCCAGAACTGTGATCAGAAAACTCCCACCTCCTCCTGCGGAGAAGAGGCAGCTGGCGGGGACAGCCCCAGGCACGTCGTTCTGGCGGAAGTGCCTACACGGAGGTTCTGCATCTGCGGCACCTGGCGGTTCAGAAGGATGTCACTTTCTGGCTGGTAACGTGCCCCACGAGGCAGTCGGGGAAGAAGCAGCAACTGCAATAGCCCTTTACAACACGCTTGTTGAGCCCAGCCCAGTGCAGCCGCGCTCGCCTCGCTGCGCGCCCGGGACAGCTGCGGAGCAGGCGCTGTCGCCGGCCCTGCGAACAGACGCGGACGTGATAGAGAGCCAGTCACTGGAGCACAGGAGCGCGTGGTCGGTGGCCCCGCAGGACTCGCAGCGCTGGCTGCTTCCGTGGAGCTGTGCCATCGGATGTGCTGACCGCCCGTCGGGTGTGGCCAGCGATATTTAAATTTGCAAGTTCAGTTTCTGGATCGTGCTAGACCCACGGCAGGTGTTCGGGGCCACCCTGGACAGCACAGCCCTGGGCCGTCTTCCATCTTGGCCCAACACCAGAGTTGCTGGAGTAACTAAAGCTTCTGAAGAAGCTCTTTGTTCCAGCAGCTTGGGTTTTTCTTTAAGTGTCCCTTGGAATTTGGATTATTTTTGGTGAGTTTTCTGGCTTTTTAAGTATTTCCTTGTAACTCAAACATTTTTTAAGAATACTTCATGGTTCAAAAAAATATGAGGGCTATCTGGAAAGTGTCCAGCCATTGCTAATATAAGGAGAATGGGTGCATGGCTGGGTACTTTCCGGACAGCCCTCGTGACCCTGAGCACAGGTTTCCAGTTCTCACCTGGCTGAATGTGGTCGATGTTTAATACTGGACCCACCAGCCATGTGTGGCTGTTTAGATGTCAAGGTAAGGAAATGCATAAAATTAAAACTTACTTCATTGCCTTAGCCACATGCCAAGTGCTCAGTAACCTTGTGGCTATTGGCTGCCATATTGGACAGCATAGATCTAGAATATTCCATCACCACTAGACATTCTGTTGGAAGCACTGCGTCTGTCAAACTCAGGTTATCGGTATTTTGGAGCCCAGTAGTTGGGGTCAATAACTCACATGTGGTATGACATAAGGTACAACATGACATTCTTTCAGGGAAGGGGGAGTTCACTCCGTGTTCTTATCACAACAAAACATATGTCATTCACGTCACCAACTATGAGTGTTTGAAATCCTCTCAAAGCTGCATAACAAACTGTCTAAAGGACCCAGAGTCGGCTCCATAGACTGGGCGAGACCATTCCATACCCTGTTTGGGTCATTAATGAATACATTTTCATGCTATGTTTCTGTCATCCATCCTTTTTCTATTCTCACCTGTTTGGACCCAGTATCTACATGGTTTTGGTCTCTCTTCCTTAATTTCTTGAAGCCAGTGCAGAAATCCCAGAGTCATAGCTTGTGATTCAGCATCCTTGGGCCCCGGGCTCTGCCGAGTGCTCTAATCCCATCAACTCTGATGCCACAAGCCACCTGCCAGGTGCGCCTGTGCTCAGCCCATTTACGGATGAGGAAAACCCAGTCCAGAAGAAGGAAGTCTGTTGTCTGAGGTCCCACAGGGAGAAAAAGGCAGAACTAAAGGTGAGCTGCAGTGTGCTACCCGAGGGACTGAGCCGTCACCTGCGAACTTCCCTCCTGACGTCCCCTGGTCCGGACAAAGCTGCTCTCCCACGCTCCGGGGCATGCTGTGGCGGGGGCATGTCACATTAGTTCTGAAGTCATGGCAACAGTTGAAAAAAAAGGACAGGTTGAGCATCCCTTATCCGAAAATCTGAAATGCTCCAAAACGGGAGACTTTTTGAGCACTGAAATATGATGCTCAATGGACTTGCTCACTGGAGCACTTTGGATTTTCAGACGAGGGATGCTCAGCCAGTAAATATAATACAAATATTACACCCCCACCCCCAAAAAAGCCTGAAATCTAAAATGCTTCTGGTCCCAAGCATTTCAGACAAGGAATGTTCAACCTGCAGCACAAATTACCCTTTAAAGGAGGGCGGGTGGTGGCAGTGGGAATCTCTGTAGAAGTCAATTCGCCTTTCTGTCCGTCGTCTGACCCAGCCAGCATGTCTTCATCAGAAGAAATCACTGCCGGTGATGCTAACCGTGCTACCGTGCGCTATTTGCAACATGTGCTAAGGCCTTCACCTGTGCTGATGCATTTAACGTTGCCACAACCCTGGCAGAGGCTCCACTCAACCTATTTTCAAGTAAATAGCTCTGTTTTGTATGCCTAAAAGAGGGAGATGATCAAAGTATGATTCCACAAGTCAGTCGATTGCCACACAAAGAATTTTTTCCCTTAGGCTCGCAATGCTTAAAGGGAGGAGAACCAGAACAAACCTCCCAGGAACACACTCGATAGACGTGGTATATTAGCCCATGGCAAGTGAGTTCAAAAACTATTAAAGTCGAGTCGCTCAATTCGGAGTAAGCGGCCCCTGTGGAGCGCACCATCTCAGCGCTCAGGCTAGTTTCACGGTGGACGTGGGCGGCTCTCAGAGAAACTGGCTCGACTGACACGGTGGAGACACGTGACAATGCTGGGGTCCCCAGACACCGCAGTGGGACCCTGGTGTTGGCCGTGAGGCTTCTGAGTGGAACGGTAACAGGGTGTAGCCCGTCACAGCCTGGGGTGTCCTCGGTAAAGCAGCCAACAGGGTAGCCTGCCTCAGCCCAAGCTCTCCACGGTTGTCAAACTCTCAGGTTTATACGTGTTTTGGAGTCCGGCAGTCGAGGTCAGTAACTCTCACATGGGATGCGCTGAGGTCTGGTCACGTTCTCATGGCAGGGAAGGGTCGCCGGGGAGAGTTCGCTCCAAGTTCTTGTTGCAGCAAATGTCACTTGTGCAGCAAACTGTGTAAGCGCTTGGAATCGTTTCGAAGCTGCATAAAAAGCTTCTCAAGCTTTGGCAAAATAGATAGAGCTTATGTCTAGCTTATGTCTAAAGGTCGTGATGTGTTAAATGTCACACTTTTAAATAGGAAACTCGCTCTTTTCGGCAAAGCCCTCCATCACGGGCCATGTGGGTGGCAGAAGCAGCGGAGAGCAGGTGCACGCCGCCCACTGTTCCCCGCGTGACTGGCAGACGCCAGCACCCAGGATACGACTTAGGGTATTTGGGGGCTGGAGCTCTGGAGCTGAGTTTGCAAGTTAGAGGCAGACATGCTGTGACCTCGCCATCCATCTGCAAGGACGGGTCAGCGTGGGTGATGTTTCTTCCCCTCCTGGCAGAGGAGGGGAGGTGAGACCCCCCCCTCATTTCCTCATTTCCCCTCGGGGCTCTCTTCCTGCAGGTTGGAGAGCTGCAGCCTCACAATTGTGGGCTGCCGTGCCCTGTCCACAGCCCTGGCCAGAAACCGGAGCCTGACGCACCTGTGCCTGTCCAACAACCACCTGGGGGACGAGGGCATGGCCCTGCTGTGCATATCCATAAGGCTGCCCAGCTGCGGTCTGCAGAAGCTGATGTGAGTCACACTTGCTTCACGGGGGGCCAGGGGGGGGGGCTTCATCACTTTCCAGCAAATAGCATGGTCTTGTGTGTGCTAAAGCTCAAAGTAGGGGGAGCGTGCAAATCACCTGGAGGGACTGGGTGTGTGCTGGACCCTGTCCTGGTGATCAGCTCCCAGATCTCATCCTACCTTGGAAATTCCACCTCTGCCTTTGTTTCCTTGTTTTTTTATTATTTATTTTTGGTTTTTCTTTTTTTTGAGACAGTCTCAATCTGTTGCGCCAGGTAGAATGTCATGGCATCATCATAATTCACTGCAACCTCCAACTTCTAGGCTCAAGTGATCCTCCTGCCTCAACCTCCCGAGTAGCTGGGATTTGCAGGAGTGTGTCACCACACCCAGTTAATTTTTTTTCTATTTTTGGTAGAGATGGGGTCTCACTCTTGCTCAGGCTGGTCTCAAGCAATCCTCCTGCCTCGGCCTCCCAGAGTGCTCCCAGGATTACAGGTGTGAGCCACTGCACCCAACCTGCATTTGTGTTTTCTTATAGTGGGAAGTTGTCATTCAAACAACCAATTCTCGTAATTTGAGGATATCATGTTCTGTAAAGTCACCCCGAACACCGAATTAGCCGACACTGAGCCCTGGGCGATGTGGGGTTAGGTTTCTATGAGCCTCCGGTCACGTTGTCATCGACTGATGAAATACTTCACCTTGTTTGCGTGTTTCTGTTCAGTGGCACCTTATTTACTCCATAGCACTGTGGCTCGTGCCTGAGCAGAGCTCACCTGGCACGTGTCGGGGATGTCACGGCGACGGCACTGCGGCGCTACGCTCGGCGGCCGTTTTAAACAGCAAAATCACCATAAAACACAAAAAAGCAACAAATGCATCACTAAACACCCCTCAAAAGGGACACTTGTCACGGTGTGAGCCAAACAAGTTCAGCCCCAGCCGGAACACGAGAGACTGGAGACTGCCTGCTCTGCGCTCGGGCGTGTCGGAAGGCCTGGAGTGCCGCCAGTGGCGACTTTGGGGTTACCAATAAAGTTTAGCAAGTAGGAAAACTCCCAAACACAGAGTCCGTGGACAACGAGGACTGGACGTATTTCCTGAGCACCTGCTGTGGGCACACACTGAGCCGCCAGTGACGCGGAGGCGAAAGACTGACACGGTTCCTATTTCTACGTAGTTTAAATCCTGGTGTGTGGGGGGGGATAAAAAAACGAGACTTTTGGGTGGCAGCGGCAGCCCAGGCCACAGCCACAGACTTGCGTGACTCCAAGGGGCACCCCCACACACACACAGACGACGTGACCCGCGTCGTCCTGCTGCTGTAAAACAAGGTGCCCGCATAGCTGCTGCAGATCTGCCTCTGTGTGCTGCCAAGTCGCTTTTATCATAAATCTTTGGCTTGTGAGACAGAGATTTTTGTTCCTGTTCAATGCAGTTTTCCCTCTTTATCTGTGAGGGTTGATTCCAGGACCCCCCCCTCCCCCCACGGATACCAGACTCCCTCCACGGACGCTCACGTCCCTCGTGTGAGATGTTTGCACATGACCTATGCACATCCTCCCGTGCACTATGAACCATCTCTAGATTGTTGCTGATGGATACCCGATGCAATGTCGTCTTGATGCACAGTTGGGTGAATCTGCAGATGCAGAGGGCCAGCTACCCCGTCCACTTACTCTGCCTGGGCTCACTTCGCTTTCTTGAGCAGTTAGTCTATGACAGCTTCATATGAGCAAAACATTGTGTTGACGTTACACGTGTGGCCAGAAATTGCGTTAAAGACCTAACCCGAGTGTGTGTGGCTCCCCGACGATCAGCTCCAGGGTCCCCAGTGAGGGCAGGGCAGGGAGATGCTGGGTTTTTATGGGTAGAACAGTGACGCGCCCCCAAGACAGGTCCATGTCCTGATGCCCCAACCTGTAACTGTGATCCGACACGGCAGAAGGGCCGCGTGGATGTGGTTAAGTGTGCCGAGGGGCAGTTACCCTGGTGGATTCTCTGGGTGGCCAGTGCAGTCACCGGGTCCTCCTAGGGAAAGCAAAGCGGCAGGGGACGTGGCCGTGGAGCTCGGCGAGGCCCTGCAGGCTGGGGCCAGGCGTCAGGGCTGCGGGGCCCCTCGAGGCTGGAGAGGGCAGGAAACAGTCCCCAGAGGAAGGCGGCCCTGCGACGCCGTGACTCACCTCTGACCTCCGGAACCGCAAGATAACAAATACCTGTTGTGAGCAACTGGGTTTGTGGCCATTTGTTATGGCAGCCGTAGGAACGTTGTCGTGGGGACAAGAAGGTCCGAGGACCTTGACGAGCATCCAGCCGGGTCTCATGCCAGTCACCGTGCCAGGTGCTTTGTGACCGGCCCGTTGTCTGAGCCCATAGCACCTTAAACACACGCGACCCCCCCCTCCCCCAGCCCGGGAGCAGCCTGGCCGGGAGAAGTCGAGCGTCTGCCCAGGTCGCCCTGGGGAGCTGGCGTGACCCTCTCCTCCCCCGTGTGCCCACAGACTGAACCAGTGCCACCTGGACGTGGACAGCTGCGACTTTGTCGCGGTCACGGTGTTGGAGAGCCCACGCCTGACGCACCTGACCCTGAACTGGAACCCGCTGCAGGACGAGGGCGTGAGCCTGCTGTGCAAGGCCATGCTGGAGCCGCGGTGCCCGCTGCAGGACCTGGAGTGAGTTCCCCGTGGGGCTGGGGCTTCCGCACCGGGCCGGGGGGCCTGGAAGGTCAACAGGATGGAACCAAAAGCTAGTCCCAGGGTCCGTGGGTGGCGGCATGCCAGGGGACGCTGTGGGTGAGCTGACGTGCTGGCGTTGCCACGGGCGTGGGGAAGGAACCCTGAGTTCCGAATCACCCTTGGTGCCCAAGCCTGCCGGTTGTCGGAGGAGGAGGTCTTGCTGCCGCTGACCGCCAGCTGCTCCTCTGCACGTGGAATGGGGCCCTTGTCTCGCTCTTCACCTCTTTCCCTCTGGGCTCAAATT